GGAGCTCACAGAATGGAAACCTACTCCAATCTTGGTATTGGTGGGAAGGGTCAGGCAGCGCCTTCTGGAGGAAGTGACATTGCAGATGAAGCCTGTTGGATCAATAGGAACTTGCCAGATAAAATGTGAAGGGAAAAGTATGTTGAAGATAGAGGTAACAGTATACACACGAGTCGGAGGTGCAATTGAGGAACTTAAAGGAGTTCGTTGAAGCTAGAACGTGAAGCATAAAGGTGAGGAGGGGTGAGAGGTAAGTTTGGAGAGGTATCAGTCATGCAGTACCTTGAACTGTGTTAAAAAATTTGGCCTATTTTTCACAGAACAGTGAAGAGGATTGAATGATTTTTCAGGAGGTAATAGGTATGATTATATTTGTGTTAAAAGTCTCTGAGGATAAGCTCGATGGCTAAAGACAGGAGATTTCTGCTCAAAAATGGGCAAGATATTATAGGATGAATAATAGGGTAATAAGCATTATCCTCAGGTGGCTAATACAATTTAAAATGCTTACTTAAAATATGGTTATTCACTGGTATTATGTAGAAGTAATAGATTCACTGAAATAAATGAAATTCCGATCTTCATGGACTCCTTCGTTGGGAATAAGGATGGAGGAAGGCAGAAAGAAGTAGAAGAAGCAGGGAACAAAGAGAGAGACGTTCATAATTTATCCACATGTGAATTTTGGCTCGTAACGGGTGACTGCTCAGATTTCAGGTCCCAGGTTAAATGTCTTGCTTCCGCACAGTATCTTTACAGTTTGAAGCATGCGGATAACCAACATTTAGTTGTACTGATAGAGATTAGTCTCTGTCAACTCAGTGAAACACGAGGGCAAGTCATCTATGACTAGAAGGTTTTGTACTAACGACCTGCATCCCGCAGTTATCATCCCTGTCTCCAAGCTACCCTGGCTGTCTCTGGGTGGCGGTGGCAGGTAGAGAGAACAGTGGCGGAGCACCGGGGTGGCACCGCTCGTGGTAAGGGACCTGGCTAGAGTGGTGAGGGGAGGTGATGTTGGTGGCGGTAGCAACGCAGGAGAAAATTCCCAAGCAGTGATAGGCTTGGAGGGATGTTCTTGATGAGCTGAAAATTTCTGTTATCACTTTATAGTTACATGATGCTTTATAGTTTGAATGTCCTTTCTTATTTACTACTTATTTGAATGTCACAGTAACACTTTGACAGACAGGATTATCTCCATTTGCCTGGTGAGGAAGCGAAGATTTCAGCTATGCAAGTGATTTGCCTTAATCCCACAGTTGTGAATGACGGTGTGGGGATTATGTCTTATTCTTTTCTTCATTTTTACCTCGAGAGAGTTTATCTCCATCTTGTTTTTTAATTGAAGTATAGTTGATGTACAATTTTATGTAAGTTTCAGGTGTACAATATGGTGATTCACAGTTTTTTAAAGGTTATTCTCCATTTACAGTTATTATAGAATATTGGCTGTTATCTCCATTTTAAAATCTGCTCATAGTCTTTACTCAGATTAACCGTATTTTATTAAATGGTCTTGAAAGAAAAACAGAAAGAAAATCACTTTACAAATTTTCATTGTAAGGGAATGAAGCATTCTACCCAAGCTAATCATCCAAATAAAGGCATTAAAAAATCATTTTAAAGGAAATTTTCCAAATACGCATTTTATCACTTCCTGGTTAATTTATCCTTTTATCTGTGGAAACACAGTGCCCAGCAGATAGAAGGAACTCAGTGAATATCATCATCGTAAACAACTGCTGTTGTACACCAAGGTCTCCCTGCTGAGCTTGCAAGCCTTTCTGCTGAATAACTTCAAGTGTCTGTGTTTTTATCTGCTTACTTGTTTCTTTGTTTGCTCTTTTGTTAAGTTATTACCTGTTACATCTTTGCATTTATAGCAGTATTCCTCAATCCCCTACTGATTTGCTATTTCCAATCTTCTGTGGTCTAGGAAACCAAGTATTCAAATTTCTTGTAAGTAAACCTGCAACACGAATGAATGGGGTCCAAGTAAGAGCCCAGGTGTCTATTCTGCGGTTACAGGGCGTGGATTTATGATAAGTGCAAGAAAGGCTCCTTGCCCTAGAGTCTTAAGCTCCAGGATCCACCTTCCCAAAAGTGGCCAAAGCAACGCGTGTGAAATGGAGGTCTGCACATGTCACCTCTGTTACTAAACACCTCTGGTGGCATCCTGTGACCTTTCTGATCAGAGTGAGCTCTCTTATTTGCCATTCAAAGGCTTTGATGACTTTCCCTCTCCTCCTCTTTATCTTCGTCACCTCGTTCCCCCAGGCCATCTTATGCTTCACTTAAGCTAAATTGTATTCAAACAGTCTAGCAGTGACCTGCTAGCTCTTGATATATCTTTCAAGTTATTAATTAATTAATTAATTTACTTATTTATTTATTTTTGATAGAGGGACTGAGGATGGAACCCAGGACCTCATGCATGCTAAGCATATGCTCTACCACTGAGCTATACCCTCCCCACCATTTGGTATTTTTAAAAATGAATTTCTGATCACAATGATTTATTTTTGCTATGTCTTTGAGTAGTTCTTGTTGCTGTCCTTCCTTCTAGCATTATTTATTATTTTAACTTACTTTATTTCTTCTGCTTTTACTGTGCTTGCTGCTCTCATTCTGAAAGAGTTTAAAATTTTTGCCTGAGTGTTAGGATGTGGTGATCCAATAAAAGACTTACTCAAATTAGATCTTGGTATTCAGGCTCCCTGATGGATGCTTAATATGCTGGGTCTGGTTTCTCCTCTGGGGCTAAAGTTATGGGACCAGAATGTGAGATAAACTTAACCCCAAATTATGTGCTGTCAGTATATTTTAATCAGAAGCCTAAAATCCCTGCAGACTTTGCTTCTGCAAGTCACCGATTTTGAACTCTGTCGCTGTGTTTGATTGCTCATGTAATATTAAACCCTGGCTGAGCCTTAATTTCAAGAAGTAGGAACCAAACTCTGTAAATGAAGATTTCAAGAACTGCTGAACTATGGAAACTAGTTTCTTTACAGCTGCTGTAATATACAGACAATGAGCAGTTTCTGATAGATGTTTTTGAATTCACTTGTCATATTTAAAAAATGGACAGGAGTTGGTAGTGGTCAGTGTACTATTCCACACATTCCATTTATTTCATGATTCTCCATCTGGATGTCTGCTAGGCTTTTCATACATAATGCCAAAACTTCATTTTCACCCTTCCGCCCCCCAACCTATTCTCCGCAAGTCTTACATCTTAACAGGATCATCAGCTGCCACCCATTACTCCAGCCCCAAACTTGGAAGTCATTTTCAATTTCTTCCTTTCCTTCAGCTCCCATAAGCAATCCATCAGCAAGTTCTATTGTTTCAATCTCCCCCGCCAAAAAAAAGTACATGTTCTCAGTCTTTCTTTCCAGCTCCTCCGCCACAGCCCTGGAGCCAGTCGGCACCAGTCCTCGCCCGCCTGCTGCCTCGGCCCTCTCTGCAGCTGCTCTTCTGCTTCCCCGGGGCCGTCTGGCTGCGAAGCGTGTGCTTCTCACCGCCGCAGTTGGCTGCCTGCCTGCTGTCTGCTTCTCCCTGACCTTAGAACGAAATCCAAACTCCTTCCCAAGCCATTGCCCGTGGCACCATGGCGCTCTCTAGAAGCCCTGTGAGAACTTTAGTGAGGTTGGGCATGTGAATGGCAGACGGCTGAAGGTGGAAGAGTGAGGGGCGGAGAGAAACTGTGGCTGGCAAGCCATCTTTTGGTGAATTTTGATGTGAAGAGGAGGAGAGAGGGAGGGACGCATTAAGAGAGGTCAGAAGGGATGAAAGAGTGGTTTTTGTCTATTTTGAGAAAAAGGAGACTTGAGCAATTTCATATAGGGAGGGAGGTGGAATAGAAAAAGTTGAAATATAGGGTGCAAGAGATGAACTGGCAAAACCTCTGAAGGTGCAAGGAGAGGTGGGTGGTTTAATCTTAGACTCTGCACTAGTAACCTGCTGCTGTGTAACAAATTACCTTAAAATGTAGCAGCTTATATGAGAGACATTTATCATCTCACACAGTTTCTGGGGTATAGGAGTCTGGGAGCTGCCTAGCTGGTGGTTCTGGCTCAAGGTCTATCGGGAGGTTGCACTTGAGCTGGTGGCCAGAGCTACCATCTCTGAAGATTTGACTAGAGCTGGAGCAGCTGCTTCCATGCTGCTGGCAAGAAGCTTACATTCCTCACCACGTGGGCCTCCCCACAGGGCTGCCTGTGACAAGCTTTCACCTAGGGCAAGTGATCCAAGGGAGAGCAAGGAAGTAAAAGCCCAAATAGGAGCTGCCGTGCCTTTTGTAACCTAGTGTTGGAGTAATGCCATCACTTACCACCCCTTCTGTTCATAGAGATGAATCCTGGTACAACGTGGGAGGAGCTACAAAAGGTGTGGGTACCAGGAGGCAGGGGTCACCGGGGTCCGTCTTAGAGGTGCGCTGCCACAGAACCCAAAAAGACTAGTTTGCTCTGTGAAAAAGAAGAAAAAGGGGAAGAGATTGAGAGAGAGGCTGACCTGTGGCTTGGTTCTCTCAGTGAAGCTGGGGGCGAAGTCTTCTTCTGAGAGTGAAAGAGGGGGAAAGGGAGCTTGGAGAGAGAAGCTGAGGTTTGGAATCACCACTCGGGAGAACGGGAGAGGTCCAGCAATCCGTGTTTTGACAGCCTCTTTAGGTGATTTTGATACCCTCTAAAGTTTGGAAGATATTCGAATAATAATAAAACAAGACAAAACCGAAAACTAGATAGGAGGATCCTTCGCTCTTTGGATTTTAGTTTCTACTTCAGAATTACTGACAAAAGCTGTTTTTTTTTCATTTTGTCACAAATAGCTCAGTGAAAACAATATAAAATCAGAAGATTGCTTGGTAAACTGACCAGTTTGATTTTTCACTATTGAACTTCTGTTTAAAACTTCATATATCATACATTTTATAATGTGTTTTTCCTCTAATTAAATAAATGTTTATTGAGCACCTACTGCTTCTCCTTCCTCCTCAGATTCACCGAATGTGAAGCTACACATGGATCAGTTTCCTCTGAGAGAAATCTAGGAACAAGTTGACTGAACCCTACACAATGGGCAGCTGAGGAAATACCCGCGTTGAACCAGGTAAGAAAGGCTGAGACACTCTCTCACCAGCAACGCCCCCTGCAGGCACAGTGCCTTGCAGTCAGGAGGGAACCAGCGAGTCCCCCTGAGGCCTGAAGGGTTTGGACCACGTGTACAGTGCCCCAACTTTTATGTGCCGGCTACTGCTATGGGGTTTACTTGAGTGCTTTGAACTTGTTACCGTTCATTTTACATGTGAAATATTCTTAGTTGAGAGGACCGATCCCTGACTTTTCCCCTTAAGCACGCTACTTGGCAGGGGTAGCATTCTGGAATGAAGTGCAGAGTTAGAGCCGTGCTGCAACCGCACTGGGTTTGCTGCTGGATGTCAGCTGCTCGCATTACTGATCCTGCAGGGCTGCATGTGGGTTTGCATAGACGATACCTGTGTGTGAACCAGATTCTACATACATGACTTTAAAGGACCCTAACCCTGCTTATCTGCTTGGCTTCAATGCTTTCCCCTACCCCTGATACTATTATTAGCTTGAGACAACCCAGTGTTCTTGAACTTAGTCCAGACATTTTGCAGAACTTTTTAATTTTTTGCAAATTTGCATGATTAGTCAGACCTACTGGACCTGGAGCAGATCTGGCAAACTCAGTGCTTCAGGAAAGCCAGGAAATGCCAAATTTCAATCTCCTCATCATCAGAGGAAATGGGGATGGGCTGAACAGATACTGCCAGTGGTGAGGGAGAGAGACATGAAGGATGGAATCAGAATTTAACATTCACAGCCTGAGTCTGAATATTAGGGAATAACTTATACGCTGACCCTGCTGATGTTTACCAGAGAGAAGCATTCAATA